TAAAAAGTTTTTTGGGTGTTCGTTAGACGTTGCTATACTCAGCTCGACGAGCTCTATCGATTGGCTAACTCAGATTTTAATTTGGGGGTGTTCGTGGGTGTTCGTAGCTGTTCGTGGGTGTTCGCGTGTTTTAGCAATACCCCAAACAATCTCATTCCGATTCTGGCAGATAGATTGCCATAGACGAGCAATCATACATGTTATTTACTCCGGTGCTGACACGCCCAATGTAATACGCACGTCGAAACTGGAATTGAAAGCTGACCTTCTAGATCTGGAAATAAACAAACTGACAGTCTCGTAAATCCCTCTTAATGCTCACTCTGACTGTGATACGTGAATCCAACTTGAGCTGTGGGGAACTAGCAAAGAATCGTAAAAATCTAACAATTTTACACCAAGCAGTTAACGTTTATTTTGTTTACCCTGTTGCAAAAGAGAGATAAATTGATCTTCTAATCCAGCCGTTAGTGACAAAGGATTCGTATTGGAATTTTCCATATAAACCATTTTCTTCACATTTGTCGCAAATTTGCTAACAAATGACGAACCCTGATTTCGATGAACGTACTGACCATTTTTGTTTCCACCATCAGCGATCGTTTTACTCACAACACTTTTTAATTGATCGTTGGTAGTTGAAACGAAATTTGTTGAAACTCGTTTGAAACCGGCAAAGTAGAATGCAATTTCAATTTCATAATCACTGTCAATAATTTTTTTGACAATTTTCTTTGCTGTTTCTTCTGTTGAACATTTGAATCGAAATGTGATTGATAATTTATTTGGATTTTTGTCTGCATGAGGATAGATACATTCAACCGGTGAATTACTTCCTTTAACAATGTATGCCACTAGAGAATCGATCATTAATGGGGCAACCGTCCAGACCTTTGAATATTGTGAAATGGACAGATTATATTTTTCGACAATTGCTTTTCGAGCCAATTCTTCTACTTCTTCATTTCCCACTATCAATGTCACACGAACTTCACTTTTGTATGCCTTCACCCAATCTTTACTTTCTGGAAACATTATCGGAACAAAATAGAAAATCCATTTTTGTGGTGAATTCATATTTTCATTTCCATTTGATAATGCACTATAAATATAAATTTGATTTCCTTCATATTTAAATATTGTCAATATCTGAGTGTTTACAACTACTGTTCCTAAACTGGGGTTGTTAGCGCGTGATAATGGTTGAATGCAATCTTCTGACGAGCCATCAGCTTCAAGTTCAAAATCCTGATCGAAGCAATTTTTATTTTTCTGCTTTGTTGTAAAATTTGGTGTAAAGCAGTTGATTATAAGTAATAGCAGAATTAGCCAAAGTGCTGCGCTGCTGATAGATGATAAACACTCTGACATGTTTTGATGATGGTGAAATAAGAAATCAACGGACTGATTTTTCTGTTGTATTTATTCAGAAAGCGAAAGCTATGTAAGATTGTCAAATAATTAAAAAATATTTTATGTGTTTAGCCAGCTAAATATATCTCATAGCTTATAACTATTACTAAGTGACTTTCGTTAATACCTCCATAGCCAGGAGTATTAATTAAGTGTGATTTTAGAAAATAAATATAACTTCGTCATTTATATTTAACAAATAAATATAAATAAATGAAAAAAACTCTGTTTTTATAAAATAAAGATAAATGGATCATTTACTTTTAGAAAATCAAGGTAAATGAGTCTTATCATGATCTTTAAAAAATAAAGGTAAAATAAAGAAATAAAGATTTTATTTTTGCTGTTTTATAGTGAATAGACAAGCAGAGAAATCTTAGTATGTCATTGTTGATGCCCTCATTCTCACCTCAAATCGTGAGTCGATAATTATTCCTGTTCAATTATTCGAATGAGTGGTTTTGAGTCATGATGAATTACCCAGATCAACTAAAACTAATTTAGCTCAAAAAGAGAAGATTAAATGGAACAAGCGCAGAGAGTCCGAAGAAAAAAGCCATGATCGATAATCATTTATTTCATTTTTATTTCTTTATATTTTGAAATTATGCCAATAATTAGACATCTTCTGAATAAAGTACTTCGTCTGAATAACAAGAAATTCTGTTGTCTTAGAACATTCCGCACCTACTGCATAATATATGATAAAATAAAATCTTTATTTCTTTATGTTACCTATATGTTTACAGAAAATAGTACCTTAGCGGGTTATGTGTGTCTTAATACACATTTTTGTGTCTCCAGCAGGTGATTTCCTCTTTTATACGCCTCTATGATTAGAGATGTTGGCTTAGTTTTATTGTTCGTTTATAATAATGGCTAAATATAAATTCATCATTTATATGTAAATAATAAAGATAAATAAATTTAAAAAAATATATTTTTATAAAATACAGATAAATGGATGATTTATTTTAAAACAGCAGAAAATAAAATCTTTATTTCTTTATTTTACCTTTATTTTTTAAAGATAATGATAAGACTCACTTACCTTGATTTTCTAAAAGTAAATGATCCATTTATCTTCATTTTATAAAAATAGAGTTTTATTCATTTATTTATATTTATTTGTTAAATATAAATGACGAAGTTGTATTTATTTTCTAAAATCACACTTAATTCAGTCCGTTGATTTCTTATTTCACCATCATCAAAACATGTCAGAGTGTTTATCATCTATTATCAGTTCAAATCAGATTTTGTCACAGGTTCAGGATGACTTTGATATTTGATACAAAGTATCGATCGGAATTCAGAAATATACTCGAATCCTCGACAAGGAATGTTCGTATATTCACGGTGCTATAGACTTTATCTAAAAGACTGTTAGAATTATAGACGAGACATTGTACTAACCAGGAAAGATTCCCAACTGTTAACTCGCTTTTGAGCTCTAAGCTAGTGGACAATAGGTAATCAAACATGCTGAATCCGACTATGACAAGCATTTGGGCTGCTAGGCCTCCGCAGACCCGGTTTTTGAAAAACCAGTTTTCTAGGTCAAAAACTTTTTTTTCCA